ACCGTTGTAGACCACCCTGTCGTCGAATCGGAGATAAAAGGGCACGATTGTTCGACAAATTTCTCGTTTAAAACGAAGAGAAATTTTTGACCGTCTTCAAAAATGTAATTTCTTTAAATCACTTTAATAATTTAATCTGAATTTTCAAAGGTTAAATTATAACACTCTCCTATTAAGCTTACAACAGCTTGCTAAGTTCACTTTTAGAACGCAATCTCTAATCATTCGAAGCAAGCACAATGCACCATTCACGATAGAGCAGTCGCAGGATCTTCCATTATGTAACGGCGCGGAAAACAAGAAAAACCGGATCGAAGTGAATTCCCAATGGAGTCTTTTATTAAGCGAGGCGCGACCTAATAATTCATTATCCCAAGTAATCAGCGTAAACGAACAGTGAAACTTCCGACGTGGTTAGGATAGGAATTTCATTTCGACGAATGCGATCGATCCGGTTTGCATTGTTATGCAATCGGATGTTGACGAGAGAATATCCGACTGATCGTGCCGCATTCATTGATCGCGGATGATTCGACGAGACGGTTCGAGTCAAAGGAGAATTCTTGTTTGCCTCCCTCTTTCTCGAGAGAGATACGCGAGATTACTTGAGACGAATGACACGCGTATCGTGCCGGATGACACGGGCTGCGGAATGATCACAGCTAGCTACCGGGATAAATCAGTGTATCACGGGACTCGGGCGAATAAGTCTCAGCGCGAATGGACCGGAACGGTTATACGTAGAATATACGTAGAATATTCCGTCTGGCGACTTGAAAACGAATGCCCGAATGTCACGTATCGTATGAACGCAGACACATAACTGACAATAGGAGTTGTACACGTCGCGGAGAAGTTCGAGGGGAAATTTTCGGGGAGTTTTTCGACTAATTTAACTTGCCAATTGAGGTACAGTTGTTTCAAGAGATTGTGAAGCCAATAGAGATGGGAGGAGAAATTTTCTGTGGGAAAGCAGAAATATTCTTCTTTCTTATTTAAGTTTTCACTGGGAGAACAGAGATTTGCAGAGTTCTTTAAAAATTTCACTGTGACTCGTTATTGTAACGTATGTATGTACATTTGACAAATTTTTGCTCTGTGAGAGCGGAGATTTCAAGACTTATTTCAAGTTTGATTCCGACTCGTAATATTTTTTTCCTACTTTAATCTTTCTCTGTGAGAGCGATTTCAAGTTTAATTCCGACTCGTAACATTTTTTCCCCTAATTTATTTTTTCTCCGAGAAAGCAGAGATTTGAAGTAGAAAATTTTTAAATATCGCCACTGAATCATTTCTTCTCTAATTTACAAACATTTTATACGTACGCCTATGCGTGTATCTAGGATTGCGCAAGAAACGGGATAAGGGTGTGCCCCACTGCGATAGAAAAGTTTATCACTGACCACTACCGAAAGCACCAGCGAATTAATCGTGTGCAGATTACGCGTGTAATCCTTCCTAGAACTTCTTTCACCGAGAAACTTTCGTCCAAGAACCTCGACGAAGATGAGATAAATTTATACAAACAATATACATAGATCCTACAGCGTTAATTGGACTCGCCGTTTAATGTCTTATTGTATGATCTCGCTAGATTTCTTCTGGCAGTACTACGTAACCTAAATAAAAGAGTAGCGTCGAAAGATATAAGCATACTTATAGAAACCTTGTAATGGAAAAAGTTACAATTATTATCTCGTGTACTGTGCTCGATCAATATTACGTTACCCCGATAAAACACGGTAAATTTGCATATCTGTGACTTAAGAACTGTTGTGCATTACGTATGTACGTGAAATTTGGTCGTGAGTCAAGTTAAACAAACTTGAGGATTTTAACCGGGTGTTTAAGATATTCCGAGGAGCCTCAGATAATTATAGTTAATCAGGGTGACGAATTCGTAGCGTCTTTGTCGACACCTGGTATTATGCAACGGCCCGGCGCAAGTATTCTAATACCCAGGATGTTTCCTTTGATCCTATTACCCATCCGCTCGGCTTAATTCCATCGAAGCTCGTTTACAATTGTTCTATTGATACGGGTGAAGGACGAGCGGCGCGTGTGATCCGGCGCGATAGATAATTTTCACAATGAAATTACGAAACGTCCCTTTTAATTGATTTACAACGCTACATTTTGTACGCGTAATTTTAGAATTTATTTCGTGTGTAAGGTTACTATTGACAATCGTGTTATCAGCAAATTGCATTAACTAGGGACCTCTGCGTGTATACAGGATGACCGCTATTAAAAAGGGATTAGATATGACTCATGTCCATATATAGAGGCTGTAGATTATTCATGCAATCACGGATGTTAAGACACTTCGGCTGATGACTGATTCACATAATCCTCAAGAAATCGTCAAAATTTGGCGAATCTATTCGTGTGAAGTTCAGTTGCTATCTTGGGACTTATGGTAAAATAGAAATTTAACTGCGATTAGTGTGAGTTTTGTTAAAATAGAAATTCAATTATTTATGTCATTTGTGTTGAAATGGAAATTGAATTACTATAAAGTGACTTTTGGTAAAATAGAAATTCAATTATTTAAGTGACTTATGGTAAAACAGAAATCTAATTATTTTTTGTGACGCATGGTAAAATAGAAATTCCATTATTCGTGTGATTTTTTGTTAACGATACAAATGTCTTGCCGCGACAGACGATATAACATCAGTGCGTCGCCGACGGCTCGTCCGCCGTCTTTATACGCCGCGATAACGTGCGCCCGACCGTTAGTCCAAAAAGGCCCGAATCGCACGCGCCACCGAGGCGGCACCTCAAAGTGCCGATCCGATCACTCGCGTGACGGCACAACATTTTTGTTAAAATAGAAATTTAATTATTATAAAGTGACTTTTGTTAAAAACAGAAATTCCATTATTATTTGTGTGATTTTTTATTAAGTACACATCGAAAAAGAAATATAATTTCTGTTGGAAATTTGGAATAAATTAATAATAAGGACTGACTTCTCACCAAGGCATCAGCGAAAAGGTGTACAATTATAATTTCCATCGTCTCGGAGGAACGTAACAGTACTCCCCGAAAATTGTCGTGTCCCCAAAAAATGAATAGATCACAAGAGACTCGTGGTGCAAAGCAATCATGATAAATCGACTCAACTTTTATCCTCCCTGCATGAAACGTAGTTTATTATTTTAAAGGACGATGTTACATGATCACATTTCCATATCAAATTTGAATCTTTGACCCCCTTAATAGTAGATTATTGAATATCCTCTGCTCAACTCTCCGAGTACGACATATGGTAAACATGGTCTCTACCTTATTTTCATGCTGGACGAAGATGAAGGGATAAGTAGCTGTCATAATTCAGGTTCCGAACTTTCGAGGTTCTCATCCTCCTTTTTCCCGTACGATTTATGTAACCATAGTATTTTATACGCTGAATACTATATTTAAAAGTTTTAATTTTGTGATTACGCGTTAAAATTGAACAGTAGAAAAATTTAAATAATCAAATTTATGGTTATAATTTGCAAGAAATAATAATCATATTGAATTACACGCAATTTCCTTATATCGCGCACAAAGACCGGGGCATTCAATTTCCGAAACGAAATAAATGTCCCCCTTATTGTCAAGGGTGCAATAGACCGACCGCAAAATGCGGAGTCATAAACATCTTCCAATTGCATCCGACCGAAACTAAAAGCGAAGGGTGTGGCTTCGTGATTACGCCGAAAAATGTTCGATTCATTGAACAATTCCTCGTAAAACGATTTCCGGATGCAATTATCTTGATCACCGAAGACAAGTGAATCGCGATGACGCATTAAGGATGGATAATTTGCTTGGAACGTTTCGCCGAGAATCACGTTTTCGGGGCGGAAAAAGTATTGTCCAACGCGTCACTCGATAATGCAACACAACTCAACGGGGGACAACGTCCAATACTTCTCCGGGTTAGTAGCGCGCGACGTTAGAAGGAAGTTGATTTTCCGTTTCGACTATAGCCGGCCGAGAGCGAGACGAAAAATTCTACGGATCAAATTTGCAAGGGAAACGGAACGTCTGCACGACGAAATTGAACAACGAGCACCGCGGTTCCGTCGTGATGAACGTGACGATATGTTTGGTGGTATGATACCACGAATGCAGACGGTAATTACCATTGGTTATAGTAATTAATGTCGACGTATTGCAGACATGGCCTGCGCAAGTACGTGACGCGTGAACAAGTCAAGTATGTAAATAATAAAAGCTTATCTTTTCGGGAAATGATTTAGAGTTACGATGAAAATGGTGAAAGAGGAAATTTTTATACGATAAGTTCCTACTTAGATTAGGTCTTGTTTGTGATAAAGCTCTCTGTTTCCATTGAATCACTGTGACGGTTGTTAAACGTAATCGTAAACAGTTCGGAGAAGGCAAATTTACACGTGTACCGCACGTCATTCGTTTCGTCGTAATAGCATCACGACTGTGACACACGCACTTTCGTGATCGAAACTATACACTTGCAGGCAGACGATTTTGGCGAATGTTTTTAAAATAGTAGTAATATTTTTAAAACGGGACAGGCAATACTTCGCCACATATGGTGTCCATATTTAACCGGAGCGCAAAAGAATATATGTTTACGTATGCATCCTGGATGTTGCTAGTGATATTCACAGGTTTAATTTATACCGTATGACCAGTGGTAAAACGACAGACAGGTCTCCGTTAGCTACCGATATACATTCGAGTAACAGGAAGCCTGTTGCTCGTATAATTCGAAAAAATCTCCCCACATAAAGCCTACGCGGGATGCAGAAGGGGAACGATGCAATGGAAAGAGATGCTACATGCATCGGAGGGGGGGGCACGTTGGAGCATAATCTTAAAATCTAATGTATGGAAACGTTGCCTTTACTCGAAAGAATGCACGATACTGAATATTCATATGGACTAATGATACGAATGTGTTGGAACGTCTGCCTCGCTGCGTTATACATTATACGTATAAGAAAAAGTATGTCAACACTTACATTCCGGTACTTTTTTGTTGTGACCAGGGTGGAGGAAACACTCAGCACGCGGGACACCTCGTACCATTTGACGACGTAGAGTGCGCGGCAACATACTGTGGCCATCCTCTCGCGATGTTTTCTCCGTCAGGAACGGAGCACAGGTCGGACGAGCACTTTGAAATTTTCCTTTTTCGCGAATCACTTAACACCCAACACTGAGAAACCGACGACCGACTTCGAGCGACTACCTACGTCGACGACGGGCGGCATCGGTTGCCGGCTCGTTCGCTTACCATTGGTTCGCCAAACTGCAACCAATCAGCGTTTCGTATGATCGTCTGCGCGGTGCACGTTGAATATTTAAATTATTACTCCACTTAATTCCTTATATTTATCAAAAATATTCGCTTTAAAGCATTGTTATGCTAATAAATAACTATTTTTTAACGCACATTTCACCGTATCTGCAAAAGTACAACATGTTTTATTCATGATTTGTTTGCTTTGTTAAAACGAGATTTTTCGAGAACGATCGATGTGAACTGCGTCACGAAAGAAACGCGCGCGCGGCAACCAGACGACTGGGATCAGATTACGACCAGTTCACATTAAACTTTGACATTTACTATAACCTTACTAAATTCGTGATTTACATGCTATATCGTGAATGTAAGAGAATTACGGTGTACGTAGAGAGTGTTTAACATTTCGATAATGTAACTGCTAGTACTTACTTCGATTGATTCTTCTTCGCTGAGGGAATGTCTAACGGTCATCCAGACGATTTTGACTATAGTTACTACGACTATCACAATTTGCGTCGTACTAAGCAGGACGCCGACATACTTTTCTTGATCCCATGGTTGAGCCTCGTTCGTATCACGCTTGTTATTTTGTTGCGTGTTGGTTTTGTCTTGATACATGTTGGTAGCGTACCAGTGAATAACGTGAACTTGATTCTACTGCAAAACATCGTTGACTTTTGCTGGGTGACTGTAGTCTACATTCTGATTGGCACAGTCTTCGCCTACACAGGCGACGTGCATGGTTTGGTAGCCGAAGGATACTGGATCGGTGACGAAAACGTCGATAAGGACGAGGCCATAATTGGCTGGTCGGCCGTGGTAATTGCTGCTGCGATATGCACCTGCGGAATTGTGGGAAGAACGCACACCATCGGTTACCTTATCATAGGATTGCTGTTAGCTGGCTTCGTGCAACCATTTTTAATTCACTGGATTTGGACGCCACAAGGATGGATAAGATCGAACGTATTACACCAGAATACGGTTCACTTTCACGATTATGCTGGCAGTACAATTGTTCACCTTGTTGGTGGATTGTCGGGATTGATAGGTTGCATGGTACTCGGACGAAGAATACTTCGTTTAAACGCCATAGATGACGCGAGCGTCGCTGTTGGTTCTTCAGGAACAGTTTTTGCTGGCCAATTGTTAGTGTTCCTTGGCCTGCAGGTAAAATCATCGAGATGTTAACGTTTTGAAAATTTTCATAGGAATAAATGACAACAAGTTAAATTATCTTTGTTTATTGGTTTGTTCTTGTAGAGTCTTAGTATACCAAACGTTAAGACGGATTATTTCAAAGCGAAAGATAAAAGGCATGAATATATCTTCATAAACAATCTGTCGGCCGCGTGTTCGTGCAGCATAATCGTTATAGCGATTCATTTTGTGCTTCCTCGAGAAGAATTTAATCACTGGACGGTAATGAGATGTGTACAAGCCACGGTATCCGGCCTAGTGATAATATCTGCTGGAACGGATATTTATACTCCGCTGATCGCAATGGGCTTGGGCTCGACTGCAAGCATCATCTATTACTTAGTTTCAAGGCAAGTTTTTCAAAGTGCGCTTGAAGATTATTGTAACATTGTAGCTATTCATCTAGTTTGTGCTGTTCTGGGGAGTGTGTTAGTACCTTTTCTCAATTATGAAAATGGCAGTGATAGTAAAACAATTTTACTGAATTTTTCTTGGCAATTGATCTGTTTGATCGCAATAATTGCTTTAGTTGCTGTCGTGATGTTAGTTGCATTCGCGACGTTACAATGGACAGGCTTATTGAGAAATAGATCGGAATATTTGAATCATTTAAGAGCTAGCATAGCCGAAGAGAGAACTTCACGGAGAAGAACGTTCTTGGAAAGATTGTTTGGAATAGATAGAGATCCAGTTTATCTACAACCGGGTTTCGATTCCGACGAACAACCAAATGTTCGTTCTCAACGTAGGAGATATTAACGAGAGGGTACTAGCAAGGGACAGCACAGATCAGATGAAGTAAGAGCATAAAAAATGACTAATTCACGTAAAATAACCTCTAATATCGATCGATAAAATTATATCGATAAAATTGAGATTTCCTGTTGTAATGAATTTCTAAAGTATATAAACGTAAAAATCTAAAGTAAACAAGTAGTTACAAATAATTTGGTATTGAAGATTTTTAACTTTTCTTTTATTAGAACTTACAGACTATTCATACAGTTATTACAGTATTTTACAATAGAATAATTTTAAGTTAAATAATCAAAGGTTCCTATTAAAGTCATACACATATTCTACACGCGTCCCCCTTTATTCATACAACGACAGCTTTCCTCTTTTTTTTTTTTTGTTTATTCTTTGTTTGCACAACAGTTTGTTAGAACATCTACAAAACGTTATTTCCCGCGCGTTCGTTGGTATAATTTGAAATGCAAATGCGCGCGCAGAATAACATTAGCAATATTTTATCGCTGGTTAACTTTTAAATTGATATACTTAAATGTAAAGCAATTATTCACGATAAAAGTAACGAGTACTACCCGTCTAAAGATTATAATTTTAGTAACGTTATTTGTGTGAAAAAATTACAAGAAGTACGCAAATTTTTAGAGGTTATTTCGTTCCGGAAATATCGTTTAAAGGAAAATTTATATACGCATAGATAAACCAACGATGAAGTAATGCTAATTACTAAAGGGATTTTTTTTTTTAAATCTTCGTACTCGTATATTGAATCCTCCTATGATTTTTTTTTCTTGCGATTCCGGTTTGTCACGTATTATTGTCAGCTGGCAGCAAATCGGACAATCATTGCTACCGCCATACCGAACAAAATCGATTAATATTGACTCTAGAGATCCGACGCCGCGATTGTTACAATAATACAACTGTATGTACAACACTGGTAAAATGGCACGATTCGACGAAACAGATCAATCGCTTAGTGTTAATATCATTATCATTAACTATTATTATATTAACAATAAACTTTGTACATGATTCGTTAAACGTCACGTGACACATCAGTTTAACGGCAGTATAAAAATGAAAACAAAATATACAAGGGGTAACAAAGCATTGATAAAGGTAATATCTAAATGTAAAATGTTTGATCAGTGTAAACTCAGTGTAAATATTCGATAAGTGTATACTTCACGGGGAATGACGTCGTAATTTCTAAACTGCTCGACTTGAGGCTAGAGTTTGTTAATTTGGTAATGCACATTATTTTTTCTTTTTAATACGACCAAATAATCGATCACGTTTGTAATCAAATATTTACAATTGTGCTATTTTCGTTCTTTCTTTTTCGATAAAATTATGATATAATTTTCCAAAACGAGCCATATGTTTATATTGCAATTCGTAAATTAATAAAAAAGAATTCTCTAAAAGGGTAGAATATCATGGACAATTTCGTTAAATTCAATTAGATCCATTTGTGAATGGAATCAGTAATTGATATGTCGTATACATGATTAACAAAGGTAATTGTAACTGATATGCGTTTAACAAGGGATCACCATGATTAAACTGTTCTGCGAATAACACGATCTTATTCACAAGAATTCATTCACGTTTCTGCAAAACTCATATGATTCGCTAAGTATAATACATCGGGTATGAAAATTTCCAAAAATCGCTCAATTTCTATCAACAATGAACAGCTCTTCTATTCCGGAACTTAGAATTATCATTAAACCAGAGTTTCTGTGCCCCTACACGTGACAATAGCAATTATTGCAAATAGGCAGTTATCACCTTACAATTTTTTTAATATCAGCGTTCACCAGGAGATGATCCGTCAAACATGATCATTCTCGAAATAGTTTCTCTCTTTTTTTTCTTTAAATTTTATCTTATTAAGTCGTTTATGGTACACCTACGATCACATCAAAATAGTACGATACATAAATGTACAAACGGACGCGATCACACACCTTTCATCGGCCTTTCCATCGGCGGTACCAAGAATAGTATTGTCAAAATATACATAGAATCATCATTATAGTTTTTTTTTTCTTGCTTTTTCTTCTCTTTCTTTCTTTACTTTTAAATACGCTTACACAACGAGAATTAATGTACATTGTGTCTCCAAGAGGTAAGTGGGCGGGAGAAAAGCTCGTAGTCCCCAAATAGTCTCACACTCGCAGAAACGATCCTGCAATTATTAGTACCAGGAGAGGACTGACGGATCGTCGATCAAAATATCAACACGTTCGATTTATCCATTCGATCATTTTCAACGAGGAAACAAATCTCTTGAAACATTGCAACACGTTTTTGGACAGTACTCTCTCTATCATCGCCTTTTCTCAAAATACCATTATCTTTTCTTTTGGTCACTTCTAATTTCACTCGTTAAAGCATCCATTCACCTTTTTCCCTTTGCTACTCAAGTGTGAAAAGAATCATCGTCTCCGAGTGGACAAATAATTCGCGATTATTATTACGTGAAAGCAAAGTGTGCGTTTGTTCGTGGTCGTTTTTTCTTCGATTTATCAAAATATTATACTCGACTTCGTCGAATGGAAAACACGCCGTCTCAAACATCTAGACAAAGAGAGTTTACAACTCGGATATAAATTAGGAATCTTTCTTTCGTGTTTTTTCTCTTTCTTCTTTCTCATTCATCTTCAGCAGTAAAGATTAGAATGAAACGCGTCCAATCCATACAGACGGATGATGGCACCAGGCGAGCAGGCTGTACTCCTAATTAATCATACACCCTTCTACGACGCAACAACGATGACAATAATAATATAACGTTAATAATAGTGCTATCGGTTTAACAACGATCGACAGTCACAGGTGTCGTGAAGTTACACCGTGAAAACAAACCGCTTAGTGACTAGTTTTGCAGGCTCTCCACCGATCTTAGGCCAAATTCACTGCGGATAGGCCATTGCAATGGTCGAAGTTCTGGAGGTTTAACGAGGATCCGGAGTCCAGTGAAATATCAAATGTACAATTATTTTACAGATCTTCAGCTAGTAAACGGTGTATCTCGTTCACCGTCGACATGAACAGTTCGGAAACGGTATCGTTTCATAGTATCGACGTTTGCTAGGTCATCACCGTGTCGGTGAGGTCTTCCTTCAGCCATTGTGGGATCGTTCGCAATCCCAGTCGTTTTAACAATTTCACTAGGGCCGTATTGTGGGATAAATAATACCTCTGCAAAAGAAAGAAACATCCGTCAAAAATCATCCTCTCGCAAATAATACAACGATGCTCGTTTGTCATTTTGTCCAACCTGTAGCAATTTGTACGATTTATCCTCCATCGGCGGATACTGGCGACCTTTGCTTTTCCCGAGGCATTTCGTCCGATCCTCGTTGGTAACTTGACAAAAGAATCCTTTCTTCGGGTCGTACCTCAGGTGAGACGAATAATTGAAAGCAGGCGTGATCTTGAGGAACCTTTGCAGCTCGTGCAACGTCTCCACGGGATTCTGGCGCAACTGCTCACCGTCTATGATGTGCAGCTGCTGCGGCGGATAGTAGGAAAGCCATCTCTCGAGATGTTGAGCGTATTTGCCGGGGTTTAAACATCTGTAAATGGGACGTTAGATACGATGATATTTCCGTTCATCTTTCCGCGTGGAATTAATATTCGCGAGCGTGAAGCACGGCGAGAGGGAGGGACGGTCTGTGAAACGATCTACGCGTGTTCACCAACCTCATTAGCAATTTAAATCTCCTCCGCGCGACTATTACACACAGCAGGATAATGTTATTATTTGCATTCAACTATTCAGGAACTTTCAGCGACTCGTTATTCTACCAGGCTGAACACACGCTTGTAGCAAACAGAAAATTATTCCAGACTATGTCTACCGGCGCAATGTTCCAGCAACCCACCTATTCCTGAGATCGCGTAGGGGTTTCGGCGCGGTATCGCTCGCCGTGATAACCGAGTGAAAGGAATAATTATTCGCTACAGCATCGCCGTGGACCCTGGTGTGCTGGTACCAAGAGTAGGCACGCCTCGCCGGCGAAAGTAGTATAGTGATCAATTTAGCTCTGGGTAGAAGCGCGTACGCTCTACGCGGCACCAATTCTCCGTCGAAGTAGGTGGCGGATTTCTCGAACAGATACCGCGAACTCTCGTTCTGCGACGCTGGAAAGAAGCTCATGTACCTGGAAGGGAAAGAAAATGACATTTTATGGTATTTTACGGGGAAACACCACTTCGAGGCGTCTAAAAATAGGCAAAGTTTTGGGGAATTTTTTTCGTAGGTAATTACTAGTGCAAAATTTTCAATTTTTTCAGAGGGTATAAACACGACTTTCAGCTTCTTCCTTCAATTTTTAAAACGTAAAAATGTTACAAAACGGAGGGTGGAGAATTTTTCTTCGGCTTCCCCTTTACGTCGGCTACTCACCAGTCGAGGCCTTTGTAATAATTCTTCCCATTGAAGAACTGAATCTCCTCGAACGTGTCAGGACTCGGCAAATTGCTACTTATCGCCGGATGAATGGATAGGAAGGTGTAAAGAGCTGTGGTGCCAGTTTTTTGGGGACCAATTACCAGGAACCTCGGCAGCTGATCGCAGGTCTTGTTCCTCGACCAGATCTTCTGATGCCTCTGGTCGTCACAGGGATTCTTTAACACAAAGAACAACCTTCGAGACGTGCTACCATGTTGTTGCTGCCGTGTGTAACTTACGCCCCACACAGGATCAGATTCCTCGGGGTAAAGTTGAAAGTACTTCTCGGCTAGCTGCAGGGGCGGTGCACTGGACAATCTCAAGTTCGTCCAGCATTGTATGAATTTAATCACCGATTCGAAGGTGTACAGCGCCAGACGATCGTTCCCGTAGTTCGACATGTGCGTCATAAAAATATTGATCTGCAAAAGACGATCGTAGTGAAGAGTAGTGTTCGCTAAAAAATAAATTATCGGGTCGTGTAATGTAAACATGCTTTTTTAAATTTAAACATTACTCTAATAGCAACTTAACAAGTATTGCACGAATTTTAACTGCTTAACAGAAAATCTAGCACGCTGGGCAATGCATTCTAGTCCGTATATGCTGCGTCAATGGCTTAAAATTTTTGCAATAGAATATTCGACAATCTCACGGCACCGGAATGTCTGAGAATTTTCCATCCCAGAAAAGTGTATTCTATTTTCTCCAATTTTAATGGTACATGAAGTATCTTTATCAAAATCTTTTTACCACGAGAGCTCAATTTGAAATTACACGACCCAATAGTTGGACCACTCGATTACCTACAGGATTGTGAACGATGGTCTGAAACAGTTCGCCACCCTGTATCGACGTGTCCAGCTTGTCCCTTCCGCCTGGATATCTGTCGATGAAGATCGTGTGTGTGAAAAGGCCACAGGTTTGCCTCGGTAGGACCTTGCAACAAAGGAAGAAGAAATCGTCACAAAGCGTTCGTTTTATCGCTTAATTCGCTGTGGTAAACGAGACGAGCTAAGTTCCCACGGGAAATCACCGTTCTTTTTGCTGTTATCTACCGGAAGACTGTTTTTAAGCGAAAGAATCCACGAAACGAAACGGCAAAGCTGTTTCTCTTCGGCAGCTCTATCGCGATCGATTTTTGTCTTCTCGAAAGCATCCCGTTGCAACTTTTACCATGGAGAAGTCGAAGCACAAAGCGGGAGGAAAATGTGCAATTACCGATTCGTTCGTTCGTTCGATCGCGAATTCGTTTATTGCTTTTGCATAGTTTTCGTGGGTAGCAGCCGGCTGTTAGCATCGAACAATGTCTATTGGCATGTTCCGGGCAGCCACGTCGGAAAAACAGAGGGGTGAAAATCGGTCGATTCGCGAGCCTCTGTTATTCAGGATGGTTGAACTTGATTCGCTTTTACAAATATTCAGAGGGAACGTTTCCGCTGGAATTATCTTGACGATGTTTCGAGAGAACTTAATATTCGGAGAAATACGTGAAAAATTGATTAGGTCCACGGCATTCTTCGTTGAATTATTCAACTTCTATTCGAGACAATTTCTACGCGAAGGTGAAATCAAATGAAATTTTTTCCTTCGATTCACCAAATGTATTTTCGCAAGATTTGTCCTAAAGGAAAAGTAATTACGAATAGGTATTCTTTTTCTTCGTTGAATAATTCGCCCTTTGTTCGATACAATTTCCTATGCAAAGAGAATTCGCAGATCTGTTTCGCGTTAAATTTGATTTTCCGTGAAATCAAGTAACCAAATTTTCTCGTTCGATTCACCGAGTGTATTTTCAAGACTCGCCAAGTTTTTCGAGAAAACGTGTCTCGAAGGAGAAGTAGTCACAGGAACAGGTGTTGACAGACTGTGATTATGAAAGATTTACCATTATGTTACGATGAATGAAGCCTCGTCTCAATCGAGCCGGCCTCAAATGCGGATACTCTTCTGTGCTGGTGACTTTGATGTTCCACACCCTTTTCCACGCCTCGTACAACCCTTCGTGAACCGGATAAACGCCGGAGTGATGCGGACTTACGCTGTAACCGCTTCCTGTCGGGATTCCGTGGTCTTTCGCGAACTGTTTGTTCAACGCCATATCCAATTGTAGATGCGTTACATTCTCGTAGAGATGAGGTTGCTGATGGTTCCACATGTGGGAAAACCACGTAAATCTGCAGTGTAAATACGAGTCGCACAATTCAGATTTTACAAAAATTCTACCGTTCTCCGTTCTATATAAACTTTATCCTCAACGATTTAACCCTTTCGCTACGGCAGATTTTAGCGCGTAACGTGGTCGACTGACGGTAAATTTCTAATCAGGGCTGCAGAATTCGTTTTAAAATTCGGTCGACTGAATTAAGGTGGAAGCGCGTGAAGGACAAAATTAAGTATTAAATTAAGGTAGAAGTTGCGCCGAGAGGCTCCAACAGTATAGTGCGAGCAAATTTTCAAAACGCCTATAGGCGCGAATAGCAACGAAAGGGTTAAGAACGATTTTAGAATTCTTTCTCTCTAAAGGAAAGAAACGGACGAAAGTTGGAACGAGATGATACTGAAAATACCGACAACGGTTGCACGATTTAATTGCAGTCCATAGAAAGGCAATTATGCGAGCAAACCGCGACAATTGGTAAACAGGTGCGACTTCCGCGACTCGATCAACCGTGACACGTATACGGTCTCAATACGTCAATTTACTCGAACAGTGAATCTTTTCGCGCTCTGTTTACCACCTGATTCGAGCAATAACTCTCTCCGCCAATTCCATTTCTCTTTTCACCGTGCGCCCCGTGAAATTTATTCGCGAATCGTTTCACTCTATTGTAATATCCTTTTGAAAAATTGCTCAACCATTATGGCGCGGATCTCAGGTATAAATCATTGTTGTTTAACCATTTCGCTGCTAATGCATAGCAGAACCAACCCGTATTCTTCTACTTAGCACTTTCTTGCGTGAAATGTTGGAGGTATCGTGGAAGGAATTCGAAATACGTTTCGAGTATCGAAAAGTGAAATTTTCTCCAGTGAAAATTTTCACGCAGTTGTTGTCCAAGGATAGGACATACTTTATATTTCTCGCACGTAACTTTATGGCCGGCAATTGCGAACACGTATTTCAGTTCCCAATTTGTGCATATTTTCCAACCTTTCTTTTTTTAGGGAGATTTTAATTTTAGTAGGGAAATTACAACGCTTCGTGCAATGAAATTTTTTAAATTGGGAAAAGAATAGTGTTCTATTTTAATGGTGATTCTCTGAATGTTAGTATTTTCCAAATTTAGGTACACTTTTCTCGAGAATCGTAAAAGATACACTCTTGGGATTTATTATTAAGGAATTAAAAAAGAAATGTAGGTATTTTTTAAAAAAATTATATTTCTGGTCCCAAAGAATATTTCGAAATTCTGACATACAAATATGTATAAAAAGGACGAAAAAACAGGCGGAAAAAATTTGTAGAAGATATCTATAATAGTTCTCGAGAAAGAGCTGCGTAAAATTGGCAAAACAGACCTAACGATTGAAAGAAAAAAAAGGACAGAAAATATCGCCTACCTGTCGACGTTCTCCAGAAGCATATCGTCCCCCAGATTCTCCTCGGTGGTTCCATGATGGAAGTACTTTCCGGAAAACCCCAAATTGAATTTAAACCCCGGTACCAGCGCTTGGATCCTCTGTTGAGTGGCCAGCAACGCCATCACGTCGTCCTTCCTCAGTCTAGTCCCCTTCTCGCCGACGAATATGTCGTCCACGTCCACCAAGATCATACGATTCAAGCTGAGGCTGAGCTGGCCGTGAGACAAGTAGGACAGAGAGTCCAACAGCAGCAAATTGTGCAGCCAGAATCGTAATCCACCGCCGAAAAACACCCTCTGTATACCGTCGTATCTGCCGTGATCCTGCGTAATGTAAATCCAATATGGACGCCGTTAGGTTGATCACGTTTAGGCTTATCAGGGCTGGACGGTGATTCTGATCGTTTACAGCAGGGCGAGGGTGTAGGTTCTCCCCCTTTTTTTATTTTTCTGTCTCTCTATTTATCGGAGGTAGGAGAATTAAACGAGGCAGTAGCTCGTTCACCGAGGGCAAGCTGATAACGCGACCCGGTATTTAATATCGATCAAATTCCGCGGATAATCCTATCGCGTAAAGGTCCGCGATGAATGGTGGAAAAAAGAGAGAGAGAGAGAGACAGAGGAGGGAAGGAGTGAAAAAAAAAGAGCATATTCGCTTGGAAAAGGAGGATTCCCGTGGAAATTAAGGCTCGATTTTCGAACGGATTTCGATCGTTCCTGGGGTTAAACGGGTTATGAGGGGTCGCGGAGCGCTAATCTCCTTTTAACCGTTTTCAAGAGCGATATATTTCGTTCGATCGTATCGTGGTCGTTCTGAGTAACCCTTTACACTTTATTCCTCGATGAAAAATACGGAGAAATTTGTGTCGGATAAATGGAATAAACGAGGTTTTGACGATAATACGTCTCCTTCGAAAGCGTTTCCAATTGTCAAGGAAGGTGTACCTGTGTTAGTAATAAATACTATTGCGTATGTACTGTGTGACCAACGAGAACTTAATGGCGAGGGAGGAATGTGGTAGAGAGAAAGGTCGATCGTTTGGACTATTGTCATATTCAGAAAGAGTACAAACGAAAGGGAAAAAATTTTGTCACAGACACCTTAACCCTTTCGTTACCAGTGGGACACATATGTCCCACTCGAGATACTCGAATGAAAATTCATCTCAATTTAGTATGCATTACAAACATAACAATCTCTAAACAAATCACAACTTCTTAAAAAAATAATTCTGTCACGAAAGGGTTAAGCAAACCAGAAGGCCAGCGACACTATCTAATCAAAGGAAACAATCAAACTTCCATATATCTACTTTGTCACCAGTTTGTGCTCATTCTAAACGATTGCTCCAAAGAGACAAACCACTGAATATACAACTGTCTCACCTAACGACACAACGAAAATCGTTCTCCAATTACGTTAATTTAATTAGAAGCTTCGTTCGAATGGGAACAAATACTGCGAACGTGGTAGTTATGCAGGAACGTCGAACCATCGATCAAACTACGTTATTAAATTACGTTCTCGTGCAAAGAAGCACAGGGAGTTGTTTAAAGCGCTTCCTTTTTTTTCTTTCTTTCACGGCGGTTCATCGACGTCGGTGGTTCACCGCTGAAAAGGAGAACGGCAGAGTCCGGGGCTATCGATCACACGCGTCGATCGGTCGTTACGTGAATTGTTCCATCGGTCGCGGGAGAAATTGCGGTGATCTCGTTCGCGTGTATTTTTCATCGGAACGACCGCGTGCACGACATTAATGGGTTTGCGCGTTCAACGCGTCGATGCTTATCGATCGTGAAGCGCGTGTAAGAGCGCGTTAATTTCAAAGACGTTCTACTTTAACGCGTCGCACCGCGCCGCGTAATAACGCGTTCAAACGGCTCTATTTCCATCGTCGAGCACGACAATGGTTCGCGGCGATTTTCGAGGGAAATTGCCGCGCCGCTCTTTTTTTTCTATTTCTTTTCTTCCCATGATTGCGTATCACGGCGAATTCTTTCGCGTCTCGTACACCGTAATACTAGTAATAGAACGAAAATTCTTTTTATCTTTCGGAATTTTTAATCTTTCGACTGCTGCGAGCGTTCGAATGGCCGCGTAACGGCGAGTCGCGGAATCGGTGATTCTGTGATGTAACAGACTGCTCGAAATTTTTTAGTTCGTATTATCGTAGATTTGAGAAATTCATATTTTAGTGCAAAGTAAGTTTTGTTTCTTGAACTTTGGAAAAAATTGTTAAACTGTAGTTCAAGTGTGCGTAATTTTCGTAAACCACTGTTCCTTTACTTACATTTTTTTTAAGTGAGACTATAAGATTTTTTAAGTATTTTTTAGTGGAACGAATCTGGACAAATTTAAGAATTTCAAGACCTGAAATTTTGTGGTGGCAATTACACGGGACACTTTGTATGTTTTTTCTTTACCGTTTAAACAGAGAGTGAAAGAATGTAAAAGTAGAACATTCTACAGCCTGTCTATTAAATTAAGTTTCATCCTGCTCATTTCCCATCTTATTTCTTCCCCGCATCGTCTAGAATTTCGATCGCGACTAAGCGCACCCCTTTATCGAGCGAGCCAAACGTTAGTTACTTCGAGCATTAACCCTTAATCACAGTGCATTCAAATCACGAGTAACGCGGAAAGAACGACTTGAAAAATATCTACTGTTTTAATCCTCCAAATTAAAAATACACAATTTTTCCTGTATGCAATAAACGTCGATAACAGCGTTATTTACGTTCCAACGTGAAATATAAAATATATACAGCATCATAATTAACGTCTTGCCTTCTATCGCACAGCGAAAGCGTTGAGTCACGAATGGCTCGATTGATCGGAGAAATTTTCCGTCAAACGAAGAATCCAGCTTCCCATCAGATAGCGGCCGATTCTTTTTTCACCGATGAAAACGAACGTTTCCATCGATAATCCCACTGGTTTCCCTGTTCGCCAAACAAAGCGGACGTTCTATCAATCGAATTTCAAGCTCGTTTGCTTCGAACGGCCATAAAGAAACTGTCGAGATGGTGAAAAGGCACGATCCATCGCGACAGCTTCCTGTTTTTTAATCGATCGACGAGGTGTTCGTTCGCAACTCCTGTCGACGATTCCTCGCGAACTTACGGTCTCGTCTAGGATGCGCGGTACACGCCTCGCGAGGAGGACGAGATGTCCTTTGGAAATAAAATAAATTGCCGGCTCGAATGGCGGCAAACGAAGTAGCTTGCATCGATGCTCATTAATCGAACGAACCAACGGCTGATTGGCCTCTGATTTAATTACTTGGCTACCTGTGATCCGTGAATCTCCAGCCTATAGGCCGTGGCCACGTAATGGGGTTATCAGCGAGATTATTATTGTTGTTTACTGCTAACAAGCTCCGTTCATGGCAACCGTTTCAAAACGCAACGGCCTGGCAGAGAATTCCTGCCGGGGTGTAACGCAATTAACAAATTGCCTGTCCGGGATTATCTTGAATCGTCTGTGCAACGGGTGACTTGCTTCCTGCTAAACGTTTATCGGATGGAATTTCAATACCTCCCTACGTTGCGATTCTTTTTTTTTTTTAAGTCAAGAGGGAATGAAAATGCTGCTTTCAGCGATAACTGTAACAAGACACCGGTATTTGGGATAATATTCCGGCACACTCAATTTTTTCTGATCATATTTACGTGGGAATGAGGATCTAGTGTGAATTTTTGTAACGACTAAATGAGTTTCGAGATTAGAGTGCTAAAAAGTGTACAAAATATTCTGCTGCTTTTGGAATAAATTTTGGGGGATGATTCTGGAAGCCAAAATAAAAAGAAAATGAAGAATAAAAAAGTTGCGTTCGAGGCTTCGTTCTTTATTTATTAATATTTGAAGATATCCCTGTGGCCAAGCAATATTGCATAATACATTACACCACATCTATCACATTTGTTTGGCACAATCTAAGACAGAACTGTACGAGCAGTATTTCACAATTTTCGTTTGATACGTCAGTGAACTCCGACTTAGCCACAAATTACAAAGAACAACGACAGTACGAATGGAAGATAGAATTGGCTAAGAAGTTGCTCGCCCCTTTGTCGTCGTATTTCAGCAAGGAATTTACCGCTGTTTAGACGGAAGACTGCGATAGCAAAGATTTATTATCGTCGCCGGAAGAACTTAGCGTAGCACTACCCCCGTTCCCGGTAGTAAAACGCTTCATTACACCGGGTGTTTTGTAATACCGTGGAACTCCAAGGTAGAGATAGAGCAATTGGATGACACCGTTGACGCGCATAAAGCATCCGTGTGCATTATCGCTCACGCGCCGCGCCTGTGTGTATCAGATAGCCGAACGTTAGCCGACAATTTCCGCAACCTCGAATAAACGTTTTACGTCGGTTTTTCGCGATCTCGGGCTTCTACGGTCGGGAGAATTTCTACGGCTGTAAAGTCCCTAAATCTACCTCTGCCCGAGCATTTCTAGGGCTGTGCGGTCCCTAAATCTACTTACACCCGCCCACTACTAGGGTTGCACGATCCCTAAATCTAAGTGCTCAAGTGGCACGCAAGTGCCGCGATATCGCCTGCCAGCCGCAAAATTTATCCCAAGCCGAGGCACGATTGCAATCTTCCTGCAGCTCGCCACTTCGAAAATATTCGGCCGTTCCATAAGTAACGTCGGTGTTTCTATTTTTCTTCGACAATTTATTTGCAATTACGAGTCACGGGTGCACGTACCCTCCCTCATTTTTCGATATGAAGAGAATTTTTTAATTCTTTCTTAAAGAAAAGTTGCTTTTTAAAAAGTACGATTTCTCAAAGGTTCACCCATGCGAATTTTGTTTTCGTATTACTATTAGAACTTCATCGACAGCCTGTTATAATCTGAAAAGAAAACTAAAGAAAAGAAAACGATAATTCCAGTGTATTCAGAGATAAAAATTCGAGTAACACGGTACAAATAACGCAATCCAAGTCAAGAAGCAGAAAGCATCGAGACTGTCGCGACGACCTGATAAAAAAATCTCGCAACAGTGGCGGAAGATGAAGCGTAGCCCATCGAGCGTACGCTGCGGCGGGCGGAGCTCGGCGGGAAGAAGCAGATGATATCACGTCTAAGCCGTTTGTTATATCAGACGAATATTTCCTGTTTGCGTGGCGCGAGCATCTTCGCGACGAGCAAGATTTGCCACGGTTGTCTCCTCCGCGTCTGCATTCTCGTGTTCTATAGATCACCGGCCGCTCTCATCCGGCGTGCGCTCGCTTCCGGGCCAGTCCTTTACATCCTCGTGGAATCTCGCAATCGCGAATTCCTGCACGAATGTAAACGGCTGTTGGAACAGCTTTACGAATTGTTTCGGACCTTCCCTTCTTCTTCGACCTCCTGTGTAAGTCTTTCCTTCTTACATCCTATTTTTATTACGTTCCTCGCCTTTTCACCCCGTTTAATCTACGTCTATTCATCTTCCTTTTTAATATTCCTCTTCTCACACCACGTTCTACTTGTTTTCCTTCCTTTTACTTCAGCTTCCTCTAATTTGCATTATTTTCTTGCTCGTTGTTTCATCGTTCGTTTCAACCCTCCGCTATTTTTCATCTCAGTTTGTTCTCCTTCTTATTAGCCATCCCTCCTCCTTTCTTATTTCCCTTTACGTTTCCACGCTGTTTCGTTTCACCGTATTTTCCACCGTTGTTTCCCCACTTCTTTCAACATTTTCAGTTTCAATTTTACAGCCCCTACTTTTTCGTTTATTACGACGTGTCCTTTGTTATCCACCTTTCTTTCCCCCTACCCTCTTCCAACAATCTCTCTTAGTTTGCCCCCGTATTTCTACTGTTTTATTACGTTTATCCCCGTTCTACTCACCCCTTTTCCTCATCCGAGCGGCATTACAATCTCCTTGCCGCTCTCACCTGCTCTTCCCACTTCTTATCTGCGTTACTTCGACCCCCTCTCCCACCTCCGACGAGGAAGTACACTGGCTCAAACCCTCATCTTCCTACCTCCTCCTCTTCCATCTTCATTTCTGCAGAAGAGATTCAAGACTCCGGCTCGCAGGTTGAAACTGGGGCGGCGTACACGCGCCGCGGAAACTCCACATTTGTTTTCGTTTCCCGGGGCCAACGTTTCTGCGGAAAATAAGAGTCGCGAGAGGGCGAGGCGCTCTGGAAGCCTCCACTTCCGTGTTCGCGTCGAAATTTTGACTAATGGACCAAGTTAATTCGATCGAAGATCTGTGTTCGTATATCCTTTTCTTTTTTTTTTCTTCTTTTTGACTGAGTGAAGTATTTGCAATCTTATCAGAATTAAGAATAACAAGAAATTGTTTGATAACGCAGATTTCTGGTTATCGATGTTTGCTCGTTGTTCAAAGACACTCGTAATTTATAGATTAACACGTAACTAGCGAGTTTTGTATTTTTTACAACGAGATGGAATATTTACGATCGTGGTATTATTTGTATTATTAAAAGTAAAAATTATTCATCGTTGAATAGCGCACATTTCCCCCCGCGTTCTTACGCAGTTATTTACGTTATCCAGGATTCTATCGTACAACGGTATGCATTCGCTGAAATTATTTAAAAACTGTCCGTAGCATCGGTGAAGAGTCGAACGTGGATTGTGCGTGATGCGAAGTGAGACAGAGCCAGAATTAAATGAAAAAAATTAAATCTGACCCTTTGAAACCATTTAAATTACGTACAAAAATTTTCTCCGAACAATACGTGTATCTAGAGAAGACATATTTAGGTGACCCACCCTGTATAATACTTTTGCATTCGAAATAATTTTTTTTAGGAAGTTGACGCAAATTGTCAAAAAATTCTATGGCATATTTTTCACAAAGAATCACCTTCTTGCACCACGATTTACCAGACACCCTGTACAGCAAATAGACGAGGAAACAGAGAGAGTAGAACCGAGCGTGTAACGACACGATGCACAATCGCGTTTAATTAAACGAACTTCGCGTTTCGACGTCGCTTTGTGTGTTAACAATGCAAGTATTAATTAATAATCCGAACAAGAAGCGTTGTTTCTGTTTGAATTCGTTGTGGATGACGGGTGTTTCGACGCGGGATCAAGTTGCGCGAAACAAAGGATCAGGTGTGCGGCAGGGCGTCTCTTTCGAAAGAAAGAGAGGACTCCGACGCGTTCTTTTTCTTTTTAAACCTACGCGCGCCACCCTTAACGAAAAAACCGGAATGCACCCTTTTGTGAGCCGTAATTAATATTCTTCGCAATTATGCTAGCGGCCCGACAAAGCGGGCCTCCGCGACTGACTGATGAATTTACCAAAGGGGGGGTGGAAGAAGGGGGAGGAGGAAGGCAGAAAGGAGGAGCTTTGGGTAACTGCGAAAAGAAAAGCGATAAACAGGAGGCACGTTAATTAATTTGCTAATTAGGAAAAGCCGGAAGTTAACGTCGGTCGACGAGAGTTACAGATCCTGTTACTCCTTGATGGGCGCGCGAGCCGCGTTTACTAGTGAAAGATTGTTCCCTTTTGCAACCTCCCGTCGTGTTTTTAATTTCGCCCTTTAACATCGGTGGAATCGAGTTTTTTTCAATTAATCAAAAGAGTGTTACGAACAATCGGGGTAGACTGAAATTCTTATCGGGTGTAGGAAACTGTTTGATGCTTTTGTTTGGCAAAATTTGAAAATTGGAACGGTCCCCGTTGCTTTTGACGACATTTTTCCATTTTTTTGGAGAAGCGTACGGATTTTAATGCGGCAAGAAATTTGGAGTTTCGATGCAATCACGTCATCGATAAATTTTCAAACATCGCTGATATTATGCTGAATGTGAATTATTTGAATTTTATGTTCTCTACAACCACTGTTACATGTTTGCACCTCTTGACGCATCTATAGAATAAACTTAGCAATAAAAAAATAAGAATGATACAACTCAGGACCTAAAGGGTTAAACAAGTGAATCTCAATCACATCACACCTCAATTCAAAGTAGTTTTAAAAACGATGAAAAATAAGAATGACATAATGTGAGACCCAAAGGGTTAAACAAGCCAATATCAACCATATATCTCAGCAAAACAAAAAACAAAAAAAAACAGCGAATTCTTTCCTACACCTAATAAAACAGAATCGAGACAGGAAAGAAAAATGTTATCATCCCGTCTGTCCAAAATTTCAACGCTCTCTGTATACTATACACACGTGTTAGTGAGCTGACAAAATATCGGTCATCCTATGTAAACGTTGCAACGTTCTACTCGCGATTAATCCTGACCAAATTCGTGGCTAGAGAGAACACGGAGGAACGTGACAGACGGTAAAATGGCGACGTAAATCGCGCGTCTCACCTGAATGACAGTCGCCAGAGGACTTTTGTTGGCCGGATAGTCGAGGCTGTCCCGATGCGCCCAGGCCAGCGGCTCGTAGGTGCTGTGATTGGCCTGAAAAATGGTCCAGTCACCGCCAGGAAGTGGTCCCCAGGCTATTTCCCCGGATCTGGTTAATCGGAGAATAGGGGACGCCGCGTTCAGCTGTGCATCCTGAGGGAGAGGAAAGACCGATCTCATTTTGTCGGCTGCCGGAGAACTTGTCGACGATACGTGAGCCGTTTCCGCGATCCTTTTCTCTCTCTCTCTCTCTCTCTCGGCTTTTTTTACACGGATGTTGAAATCGAAAAGGGGTGTTTCAGTGTAATTCTATTCTGTTACCTGGTACCGTTCGCTGCCACTCTGATTGATTTTATTCGATGTAAGGTGAGATATTTTATGCAACGCGGCGATCGATCGCGAGGTAGATAACGGTGTAAAAATATTTCACGGGTTTTGTAGGATTTTTGTAGGTGTTCTGTAGTTTAGGAGATTCCGTGCAGTAGATCTGTCAAGTTACTCAGTAGGATATTTAATATTTTAGAGGAACTGTTTTACTTTGCTTCGAAGCTCTTCTAAAATTCTTAACCCTTTCGCTAAGGCACATTTGCAGTGCTCGTTGTAAGTGTTAACATTCTGAATTAGACTTGAAATCATGTTAAGAATAGTCTCGAGTATTTAATAATGAAATTTAAAATCCATTTTTGAAAATTTATAAGATAAAGGAATTAAGGACGTACAATTTTCACGATAAGTAGACTAAGTCAACGCTGTCAGACAGGTATACCGTAATCTGAGTAACGTCGATTTTTCGGACAGATATTTGGTGTCTACAGAGAGAGCGTTTCTCATTTTATCATGAGAAGCTATCTTCAAACTAGACAGAAAATTGACATGTATAAAAGAAAGACGACTCGAAGCAGTCTGTATCGAGTGTCCTTTCTTTGACATCGATTCAAAAGCAATCCATTGCCTTCTGAAGTAATTCCTCTGTACTTGCACAACATCTACTGCATATTTCATGAACCAGCCAATGTATACGATTCTTTAAATCTAGAAGAGTTAACCATTACTCCGTAACAATCACTTACACGTTCCAATACTTGACAAATCCAGAGATACATATACAGTCTCGGCCAAAAGTTTCAGGCACCTTTGTCATTACAGCTTATTGCAAAAATTCCTTCATCGTCCTTTGCCGGCTAGGTCAAAGGAAGCTCAATCCTTTCGTCGCCAAATTCTTTTTTTCAAGAATTTCTTTTTTAATCTATCGATCGTTGCGTTTGTAACGAATATCATGTAGAAATCAATTTTTCCTCGAGTACTCAAGTGGAACACAGCGTCCCATTGGTCACGAAAGGGTTAAAAGAATCGACAAAGTTTACCGTGGGTTCTACAGTCCACATTTTCTATCTCTTTTTAAAAGCCACAGTCTGCTGCTAAAAAAGAGTGAACTGAGATCAACGCAAGTTAATTCTTTTTTTTTTTTCAAATATGGTCAAAGTCAGAAGAAAATTGCCGTGATTGTCAAATATTAGGCAAAGGATAGCCCAAGGAAAAAAATAATACCTCCATTTCCTCCCGATACAAAAATATTTCCAAATAATTCACATTTCATGGTGTGTCTAATGCTTTTGGCCGAGGCTGTATATTTCCCCATATACTTTCAAGAGAACGAAGAAAGCCGAAGAACATAGAGACACGCGGATTTAATCGCGATTCAAGTCAATCGCTCGTCGATCGAGGAACGCTGGAAGAAAATGGGTGGAGAAATCGCGTGGCATTACCGGTGGTAATCTCAGCATGCAGACACGCGCGATTTCACGGCGCATGCAAATTGATTCGAGCGTGGCAAACCTTTTCCGTGAACCGCCGCGCCGCGTTTAAAGCGGCGTTTGTCGTATTGCGGCTCGCCCGGTAACGTTTTCCAAGGATCGATGCTTTTATTACGCCGTTTCGACGGCCTTTCTTTCCAAGCTTCCTGCCAGGCGTTGCAATTTTTCTACGAAATAAAGTCGGGCCGTTTCGTCACGGCAACGGAGATTGCCAATCCGAGACGCCTCGCGCGGATCCACTCGTCTCCTCTCCGTACCGAAACGTTATCGAGTGCCGCGACAAAATTTATTTTCCCTCGAACAATAAAAACTAGGGACACCTCGTGGCCTCCGTGGACGCGTTCCATCCCGGGGAATCGCTTCCTCGGGATCTGATCGTCAGATCGATCGGTTGTCTCGTTTTCAATCACCTGTGCTACCTTCTTTCAGCCTTTCCGGCGTGTTTACAATTTCTCTTTTCTTTCGGTTCTCTTGGAAAATCGCGGTGTACTACTTTTTGCGAGGGAAACGAGGAATTAACCGTTTTAACAAGCTCTGTCTCGTGAAACAAAATAACTCTGTGTCTAGCTCGTCGTTATTTTGTTAATTAAATGGGCCCATTCGAACAATTAAGGTGAAGTGGAATAGTAACTTCTTATGTAGAAAAATTGAAACATTATTTTTTAAGGAAACTTTGTTAGAAATTTTCAATTAGGAACCGTACGTAGAACTTAGGGTGAGAAATGGTCCACTTCAGAATTGACAAATTCTTCTCAGAAATGATTTTTTTAAAAACAGAACTTGCCTTTGTAATGTTAGCTGACTTGTTATCTTGTCTGTGCACAGCGAACGGTTAATTATGCAACTGTGAGTGCATCGTTTTCCATGCTCGATTTATTTTACAACTAACCTTCAGTCTAAGATTAGTATGCACGAAGAGAGGAAAGCCCTTTAATTGCGCGCCGACCAGGCTTTCCTCGCCGGAAGGCGCGAATCCCACGATGCCGACCGAATATTCTCTGCAATATTTGTCCAGCAATTCGCGATTCCACTTGTCCATCTGCAGGTACTTGTTCAGGTTCTCGAAGATCAGAACACCGTACCGACCTTTGTCCAAATTCGTCAGCACGGGCAGCGACTTGCCGGCCACTTCTATTTTGTACCTGCAACAACAAACCGAAATTGTTAGATTTTCTTACAAAATAAATGTAAACGAACATTTTCATCAAAGTTTCACTAATATCGATGATAATCACTTCAGAACATTCCCTCGCTATTCTATTATCTTCATTTCTTATTTTTTGCAAAATAAACGTGGACGATTGGCGATAAAAAATTTTTGTTTAGGTACTACCATATACCAACGTTTCATCAATATCGATGATTATCACTTCTATTATCCTAATCTCTCTGATCACTTTCCCCCATAAAGAACGATAAATTTAAATACGAAAAATTCGCTGCACACAATGTTGACGAATTGATAACTAACTCGACCACGAGATAAAATTACAAAAATTCACCTGGGAACCTCAGGTGAATCGATGCAAAGGAGGAAAAAAAATCGCAAAGCTTTTACGCGTAACATCCGCGTGTCAACGATTCCCAAAGGTTCCTCCGGCACAGGATCACGAAGCGACGAGACCGGAATCCTCGTCTTAAACTTCTTCCAGCGACGGTTCTTATTCCCTCCGCGAGATTATTCAATAAAGCAAGGATCGCTCAGAGTTAACGTGTTCCTCGGAACGGAATAAACGTTCCCTTTTCCTCCGCTCCTTGTCTCACCCTCCCTCTACCTCCTGCACCCACAAGTTTCACCGTCGCCAAGGGTAAACTGTTTCGCGGCGAATATTTAGACGTGCTCGTCGATTCTCGGGGCAACGTACCGCCTCCGATGCTTGTTACGACAATTTCAATCCGCCCTGTCGCGCGGCTATCGGTTATTTAAAACAGGGACGCGGTAATAAATACAAGGGAGAGAGAGAGAAAAAAAAATGGAATATCGATGGAAAGAAGCGGCACACAGCGCACAGCCAGTCAAGCCAAGCCAGCCCCGGTCGTTATTGTTAAACGATAAAACAAGGACATTTTTATCGAAATCCCATTTACGCGGCATCTGAAACGTTTCGAGAATAATAAAGCAATTACACGTATAATGTACCTTCGCGTTTTCGCTGCGGTTCTCTCTCTCTTTCTCTCTCTACGTATTCTCGATCCTTTTTCCTTCGTCGCCTCTTGTTCGTATCCTCTTTCTCGTTCTTCGATTTTTAATAACGTTCCAATTCGCTTCGTCGGAACTCTGTTCGACCACACGAACGCTCATGGAATATCAGGATTTTTATCCGAGCGCGCATGCTTTTTATTCGCTCCGTCGCTCGATAAAATGACTTTACCGTTGAAATAAACCGACGAACTCCGGTCCGATCGGTCGGTAGGATTTTCCAGAAGGGTGTCTCGCCCAAGAATTCGTGGGAGAATTTTTCGAATTTATCGATAGTCTACCCGCCACGCACGAAAACGGGAAACTATCATCCGCGCCGATGATAAACTGCAGAATTATACGGTGTGGTCTGTATAATAGTGGTATAATAGCGTAGTAAAACGTTGTTTTATTGTTCGATTATCGGATTAGAATCAGACACAAGAATACCGTAGACCACCCACATGCTTCAATTAGTATCTCTACCTGTACATCATTCCGATGCACTCTTAATTAAGCAATGAACCCCTTATTAAACTACGGAACGGGGAAATCGGGTTGTTATCTATAATAACATCGATTCCATCGGTGTATACTGTGTTGCCTAAGTATTGTATTTGTATTACAGCGTATTAATCATGTTTATTGTCAAATAAGGCCCACCGGAGTCCTCGAGGTACAAATTTAACATCTCCACTCACTTTTTAAATTTCACATATTCGCAAATTTTCAATTCTTCCCAGCTTCACGCTAAAAGACCGCAACTCATTTTAAAAAATTTCATCACTAAAATTCCCAGAGAAGTTTAACCCTTCCACTGCGTCAGATTTCACTGTAGATCTCCAATCGCATCGTTTCAAAATTCATTTTACCGAATTAAAGTGGGAGTGCACCGAGGACAAAAATGAAGGATGAAATTACAGCGAAAGTGCGCCTAAAAGCGCCAAAAGCCTCGGTACAGCAGCGAAAGGGTTAAGAATATTTTTCTTTAAATCCAGAGTAACCAGTAACCGAGTAATGTACAACAATATTCCAAACAATCATCGTCTGACCCTCGGACACCACTCGTTTCATCGTAAATCCCGAAAGCAAATGAATCTCACGAATAAAAGATCCGAGAAAGCCACGAATCGGTAGATACTTGCGAGCGGTAGTGTACAATCTCCTCGAACCTCCTACTCCTTCCACCGATACGCATTAACTTTATCGCTTCGCGGCGGTTCGGAGCGTTTTCTCCGCGGGCAATTAGCGCGTCGACGGAGCAAGCCAGCGTTGGGGCGTTTTACAGGGGAACACCGTGGAGGTGGAGGAGAGAGACTGGTGGTTCTCGCGGAACACGTCGTAATTCCAGGCGAACGGATAAGCGGGCGGACAGGTCCGCTGTGACTATCAACAGTTTACGGTGGCGCGCGTGTTCGCGTGTCACGATGGAAAATTGCAGTTAACTAATGAATGAATGCCGGATAATTCAGCGGAGTAATCGGTTCGATAATTGGCAACCGCCCATTAACGACGGCCCGGCAATTTACCGAGCTAACGAACTGTCATAACGAACTCCGACGTGGCTCTTTTGTTCTTGGCCGGCAATTGCCGCGCCAGCCAATTGCCAGAGCGTATGCTTGAAACGCGTGCACCACCACCATCGCCGCGCCGGCCAAAAGGATCTCTCCAATAGTCAAGGGAGAGATTTCAAAGGTATCGATCGATCCCGGTTACACCCTTTCTCGTTTTCTATGCTTGACGAAGAAAGAGAAAAAAAAGGACGTCTCCGGCCGCAATTAGGGATGTTTCGCCACACGTCTCTCGGCCCACCCTCGGAGCACACCCATCCGTCAAGATTATGTCCTTCGATAGTTTCTACTTGTCGTGTCGAGCCGAGTGGAATAATTGCTTCGACCCTTTCAGCTTCGTTCAGATACGCCGAGTATGTCGCCTGATTGGCACTTGCGGCGTGCGGGAACAAGTTTCTGGCTCTCCTCCTGCGTTATACTGGGTGTACACATTATTAGTTCGCAGAGGTTTTCTTATAAATTCGAGAGAATCGTGTTTTAATATTTTTTTGCAGGCAATACTGCGATTTTTACAGTTCTCACGTCTTACTTTTTTTAAGAATTGACGATGATTTAGTATTTGGAGCTTTTACAAAAGTAAAAAGCTCACTAGAGTGAATTATTTAGTACTTAAGGGGAGGAGAAAATGGAGGTACAAGTGTAAAGAAATCTCGATTAATTTAAACGCGAATTGAATTTTGCAAGGTCTTGCATTGGCTCGTTCAAAAAAGGAACGCTTGAATTTTTTTCAAATCAACGAAGCAGTTCGGCCTCTTTCGTAGTCGTTTTTAAAATATCAATTCCTCGGGAAACAGTCTTTTTAATCAAAGTTTCCATTACGATTTTTCATCAGATGCTCGTTTCTCGTTTCTTTCTGTTTTTTTTTTTTTTTTTTTTTTTTTTTTTTATTTTTTTTTTTTTTTGTACAGATATCGATTTATTGCACGGTGATTATAATACATACGTGTCATTTCGCCGTACGGTGCAAAATGACAAACGACAGAGAACACCGAATTGCGTTATTTATGCATTTTCGAGAATTAATTTTGGCGTTCTTATCTGGAAAATTTTGCTCGACGCATTTCCGCTTTTTGTAGTATCTGCAGAGTACAATGCTATTCGATTTAATGAAATTTATTTCCCTCTTAACTCTTCATAATATTCCACAATTTATACGCACTGAATCGACATTATTCAGTTATCCGGCCTTTCTTCCCCCCCCCCCCCCTTTTTTTACATTTTCACCATGCAAATAACGTATCGTAATGCAAATGATTAAATCCAGCCTCATTATTCACCGGATCTCCAGCGTTATTTTATACATTACCCGGAATTATCGTAATAATAATTGAACGCATTATCAATTAACCGCCGAGGCAAAAAGGGGGAAAACTAAACTCCCGTCTTAATCGTTAAAATACCAACTTAAACGATAATCTCTCTCTCGAATGGAAACCTTTCAATTAAAGACACGAGTCAAATTAACTCTTCTTGTTCGTCGCGTTTCATCGTGATTATAATTTAAACCTGTCCCGTTCTCCCCCCTCCGTCGGTCGTGTAAGGAAATTATTCCCGTTATTACCTGTAAATATTTAACCGCGCGAATTAATGCGTTCCGCATGTATTAAAACCGCCATTTCTCGAGCCCGGCGATACTAACGTTTTTCATTTTCCGGTCGAAACGCATTAATACGTCCGATACGCTCGACAACTTTCGAATGGAAACGGACTTTATTCGAGTTTCTCTGGTCTGTTTCTCGTTAACCGGAACCCCGAACTAGGATCTAAGAGATCTAACTTTAATTGACAAATTTCATTGTAAGTAACTCGAGCAATTCAATTTCCAAAAGTTTCTCTGCTAACTTTCACGTCACCGTATAGCTTCCGGGAAATACCAACCAAGACAATACACTCGCCTCTAATTTTTTCATCGCCTTATAAACTTTCGAAAGTGAAAAATAGCGAAGAGAGAGAGAGAGAGAGAAGTTGAACGTGATTCGTTCGTAATATGTCACCGTATTTCCATTCAAATTTAGTTTGCGTTAACATAGAAATAAAAATGTTTTCTTCTCGAAACGAAATTTTTGATTTTCCATAGTTTCACTGAAAAAGTGTACGGATCGATCTTATGAAAAGATGCGGGGTGTTCGAAGGGTTAATAATATCGACGATAATACCGAAGCTCGAATTTCCAAATATCCAAAAAATTTATCGACGAATTCTACGATCTCAATATCGGTCCTTCGACACAGCACAAATTGAAACACCTCGAAATCATAAAACAGTGAACCTACGAGACGTCAAATGGACCTAACCTTCCATCGCTCAAGCTCGTTGATCTAATTACACGAGGCGACACGGTCAAAGCGTTCCACTGTAATAAAAAAGAATTGCCCGACTAAAGGACATTCCT